GTTTAACAATAACAAAAACAAGGAGCTAAGATTTTTTTATGTTTGCGCCAAAGCTACTTATGTTCCCTTCATTCTCTCAGAACTAAATCCGTTCTCTCCGTGTTCGCAAACTGTCTGTACCATCGAACCTTACGCAAGACACATTTTTGTTTTGTCTTTCACTTTCCATGTCAGTTGTGGTCAATAAGGTTATCTTATACAAGTATATATCTTTACAAACAAAATCGGTTTTTATGCAAATAATCCAATTCAATCATATATAGTACATATGTTCTATGACAGCTGTATTGTGATCTGTTCTGGTCGGTATTGACATATTATCTTTACTTTAGGGCATAGTTCTATAACTGGGGGAGGATTAGTGATTAAGGCAGAACATATTGATCCATCTCCCCATCTATAATACTTCTAGTGGCCAGCTATGTGTGCTATAATAAGTACCTTGTCTACCATTCTTTGTGTTTGACTTACTTACCAAAAATAATTTACCTTTTCCTTTACCTTAGAGTTTATTAAAGGGTATAAAAATATCTGCAGCAGACTTTTGAGTTATTTCCCTTGGCGCAGTTTTTGTTTTTTTTTCTGCATACACATTGTGGTTGGAGGAGGAAACATGTGTTTGCCTCCCGTCGGTGCTTAAGCCAACGTCAGCGCCAACGACGTCATAAATCTTCATACAAGACACACACACACACCTATGCCCACCTTCCGCGTGCTAAGCACCGGCATGTTGTTGCACTGCCCCACCCATACCCTTTCCGTCGGGTCCGAGTCCAGTCCGGCGCTGCTCGCAGTGGTGGGCACCGCCAACAGCACCACCAACAGCACTACCTCCAACGGCTTATTCCCTGCCACCTTCATTAGCCGCTTCTACGTCAGTGGCAGCGTCGTGTGCTTTGTTGCCTTGTAGAAACGTGATTTCCGCTATTTTTCCTTTGTAATTGTTTACATATCGAGGCACCCTTCGATCGCTACCCCGAGGCATGTGCGCTACAACTAGTTGATGTTTTTTCTGGTTTTTAGATTCAACATAAGGAGGTTCTTACTCTTCTTAGAGCATGCCACACATTCGAAGGCTTGTTTCAATTGGCCTGAATATTCTACATGCGTGGGGTGTGCTTTTTTAACAAATCACACATATCGCAGCCCTAAGAGCTCAAGTTTCTGATTTTCTACTCATTGTTGCCGATCTGAATGTTTTATTTATAAGTATAAATGAGGCATTACTGAAATGACGCGAATACAAATTTATTTTCGATACATAAGCTTACAAAATGTTATTTTTTGAGCTTAACCTAAAACAATTATTTCTTGAATTTTTCGATTTTCAATTATATTTTTACAACCCGTACCCAAAAAAGGTCAAGGATAGACAATGTTCATGGGAATGGAGGTATATGTTACCCGTACATGTTCTTGGTCGGTGTGACAAGACGAGTCGTCCGTCTTTTTTTTCGTAATTCTAGAACGTTTTACTCCTGGCTAGTGCTTATACTACAAGTATACATATGTCTCATATGAAGGTTTATAGTGATGGTTCAATTCCAAAGAAAGTTATTGCCATAAATGTATTATCTGGCAGCAGCTGTTGTTGTTTTTGCACATAAAATCACACTCACAGACCCGTTTAAAAACTCTACAATTCAAAATATATATGTACATATATAAAGCCACATACGTTGGTATATCATGATTGCTATACAAGTATGTATTACTCGTGTTTGTTATATTCAATTTACTTTTTTTTTTTTAAGTAGGTACAAAATTTCAAAATTCTTTAAAAGCAAACATTTTAAATCTTTAACTTAAGTAGGAATTGCGATTTTAGAACCCGACTTTCCGACATGCCATCCTTGTTTTAACAATCGAAATACGTAAATCTATAATATCAGAGATTTTGAATTTAACTTTTTGGTTGAGGACTTGGAGTTGCATTAACACCGTAGCTACAGCCGTTTTGTTATAAATAAAAACCTAAAGAACTTTATACCGTACCTGCAGGATAAAAGGTGAAGCTATATTTAATTTGTGCAAAATAACAAACAGAAAATAAAATATACTACATATTTGTATAATCCAAAACAAGCAGAAGAATAATTATATGCATGCACATGAGCTCACATGGACCAAACCTGTTAAATAGGCTCCCTCCACCTAGACCATATGATTTTATTTTGTTTGCTTGAATTTCCCTCTTTTCGTTGGATACCAGCAATTCTTTTCAGTGTTTTGTTTAGTTTATAACTAAACTTTTCATACTCATACGTAATTATCCTATTATTCTCTGCCTGTTTTGAATGTTCAGAAAAGTTCTTGGGAATAATTTGTAGTCCAATACAGACTGCAGCATCGGCTTTGCGTTTTTTGGTCTTCTTCTTTTTGTTTCTACTATGGGGGAACCTATTCATAGGAGCATATAAGCGGAAGTTTGTTTGGGTACAGAGTACGAGTATTTCACTGTCGGGCTTGCTCGACTGCAACTGTTGGTTTTATATTTGAATGTAAAACGGGTTTCCCAGCGAACCGTAGCTCACATTTGTATGTACTTGTAGTACAGTATTTTCTGATTTTTGGATAACAACATTTTTCCTAATCTGATCTGAATTTCGTGTTGACACATTTGATTTGGGACACTGTGCCTAACGAACCGTGTTCTGCTGCTAGCGGTGGCATAAGGCTTCACGCGTCAGTCCCTTTGCCCATTTTGCGGCGCTCTCAGTTATTGATTTTGAGGGAGCAACAACAACAGAGCCGAGAGAACTACCTTGCCCGCCTCGTCCTGCCCAGTTACTTACCCACTAGCAGTTTATTTATCACAGGCAGCGCAGGGACGGCTGCCAACATTTCCTTGGTGGCAAGCCTATACATTTATTTCAGTTTTCTTTTCTTACTTGGACTTTCTGATCTGCATTGTGGCATCATCATACTCAGTTTCTAGTGTCGAGAGTGAAGACTGGTAATGGTTTTTCACGTCTCTGCTCACGGCAGATTTTTGCCGGTGCATCCACCCCCCTTGTTGTTCTTGTTGTTGTTGCTCATGTTCGCACTCGTGTTGAAAAATACAGATAATAAACAAGTGACCTGAATATATAGTATACTATATGCGCGGGTAGGTAAGTACGTATGCATTTATGAACAGCAACCAACGTCGTTTGCATGTGCAGTTTGGGTTAAGGTTACCCCACAACCTCCGCCCCAACCACAGGTTCCAAGTTGCCAAGTTCTTGTTGGTAGTCGGCTCAGACGGCTCGGTTGCCGGCTACTGATGTATCTGTGTTTGTACGAGTATCTGTATCTTGGTTAAAAAGTAAATACTGCTGATGTTCGCCAAACAATGGCGCTAGTAGTGTGTAAACACATGAACATCTACATATGTATACATGGCTATACTTGTATGTTTGTAGGAACCGACCAATGCCGGGGAGTGTGCAGGCTGATGACTTTACACTCGTATTGTCGTCTTTCATAGAAATCAAGTGTTCTCGGCTTTGTGTGTGCGACATTGTGTAATTGTGATACAAAGTTGGTTGTGTCGCTTGGCTTTATGGAACAATCAGCTCAGAGCCACAGAGAACAAATGACTTGAATTTTGCAAGAGTCTGTAACAAACTATGACTATTTGGAATATTAGAATTGAGATAATTATGAGTTAGCTTTGATTTGAAAAGGGAGGATTTCATAAAAATGGCAATTTCTTAATTGCAGCTCACTTTAAAGAATACAAATATTGCACTGCGTAGCGACATTTTGATATATATCATATATATCAGTAAATAGCAAAGTATGAATGGTGCAATCTCAAAGCATATTGAAACCTATAGACTCATGTAGTATAGAAGGAAAGAAAGGACACACTTAAGTTTGTTTTCCAATTAACAAATTAAACATTAACATAATTTGTTAAAGATTAAACACAAAATTAAATTAAGCACTGAATCGTTTACTAGATAGACGCATAACAGACATTAATTATTTATCGTATTTCCTTCAGCTCTGGCCAGCACCGAACCCAGCCACACAGTTCTGACAACAAAGACAGCACGTGGGCTGCCACGCGCATGTCCTTCACCTGTCCCCACCTCTTACCAAAATGCCTTCTGAACCGAGCCATATACGAGTACATACAAGTACAGGTACGGAAGTCCAGTTTGTTGTTGGTTTTACTGGTGCTAATGCCTCCTCTAAAAATGGTTAGTAATTATGTAGCCTTATTTACTCTAATGCTGATGACATGACGTGCGAATGATTTTGAGGGGCGGGCCGCGCCATGGCTTGAATACAAAATGTTTTGGGAATATACTATATACGTGTAAGTATGCCGATAACGACAAGTAATCTATGCCATAATACAAGTATGTCGAATGAGTGAGATTTGGGAAAAATATATTTATTTATGCCTGATTGAAGCGACTTCGACAGGTCGGAGGCTTTTGCATTCGTTTTGCAGAGACATTCGAACAGATGTACTGTATTGGAGATAAGAACAGATATTTATATAGCTATTTATCTAATCTGTGTGCTACCTCAACATGAAAGATGTTAGCGCTCCTGTACGTAATCCGTGCAATAAAGTACTCTTTGTGATAATAATGAATGGGAATTAAGAAGAAACATATTTTTTCCTGATTAAAGCTACTTTGACGAGGCAGAGGATTTTGTACTTAGTATCAAAAACATTCATACTATATGTATGTAAGCGAAGTTGAGATAAGAGCAGGAATATATATAACTATCTAATCAGTATGCTACCGCCACATGGATGTTGTTAGCTTCCAGATTTAGTTTAAATATAGCTGCACGAAATAAGATTATTTCTTTGTAATTCAGTTATCAGGTGTTATCTGCTATCTTTAAGTAAGCCTCAAGATTGTTTTTGTTTCTGTATCTATATGAGTGTTTAGAGGATGTTTTTCTTTTAAGTCATAACTTTGCCTATCTCAACTGTTTTGATTGCTCTCCGCTTTCATTCATCATCTATATTTGCCACCATCTGAACTTACCACAATCTTATTCTGCTGCTCCAGTGCTGACCAATTGCACGCTGCAACAAAAGCAAATCGAAAAGAGACAATTATTTATAAAATATACAATTTATTGATTGCAAAATCAATCAGTCAATTAGTGTACGAGTGTCAAAAGTCATCCAATAGGATTTTGTTGTTTGTTATACTTGCAAATACATACAAGTATTTGATCCCAGGTATGCTCAAGGGCTCACACACAACAAACAATACGAATAGGCTCAGTTGCCAGCCACACGACCTTGACCTTTTGTTGGCTGGGCTGATGGTGACTAGCTGTCTAATTATGAGAGACTAGAATATTTTGAAAGCTGTCTTAAATTTTGAACATTCCCCTGAGCTGAGCGCTATAAAGATAGCCAAAATGGTAAATATGTTGAAAATGTGTAAATCGAATCGACTAAAATAATGTGTATTGTAGGTATAATTATATGAAATTCCTGTTAATGATTTTTGCAACTTTTCAAAACTAGTACTTAACTATATTTAATGCTAGTCCTAAGCTGAAATCTTTGAACTCGCAATTATGACTTTAAGTGTTTGAAATTCTTCCACGTGTTCAACTTTATTTAAATTATGTGTTTCATATGAAAACCGCCTAACCTTCGCTACTTTGTTTGCACAGCCCACTGGATTAGTTATGTATAAGTATTTATTGGATGCATTTGTAAATATTTGCTCTATATGCACATGTATATCTCAACTCACGTACACAATCACAGTTTTCGTTCATGCCCATTGCACTTGCTACAAAACGTGACGTCTATATATACACACATACATACGAGTACTATATATAGACGGGTGGTGCCCCCAATGATAATAATAGAGACGACATTAGCCCATATAACGCGACGTGTAAAATTCTTTAGCACTTGGTAATTAGTGGAGTAACATCGCAGAAACTCATAGACTAGCTCCCCGCTTCAGACACCACCACACTCTGACGCTTCCTATACTCTGCATTTTGCAAATGACTGACGCCAACGGTTTCATGATAATGTTTTGCTGTCTTTTTTCTACTTCTGACGATTTGCGTGCTGAGATTGCTAAACAGTATTGATTTTCATAGAACGTACGCGCATTTAATCATAGTCGGTGTTGTCGTTCTTGTCGTTGTTGTCGTTGTTGTTGCTGCTTCGCCGAAGCCTCAGACGTTGTCTCATTACATTCGCGCCTTTGTATCCAATTAGTGAATGACTGACATTTTTATCGATAGTCATTTGATATTTAAGCCTGGACATGTACACGGGGCGTATGTGCAACGCACATATAATTTGTGGTCGCTGTTATGGTTTAAGATTGTTATTATTGTTGTTGTTGTTTTTTTTTTTGTCACACCCCTCTGCTTGGTGTGTGTGTGTCGTGATTTTCAATTAAATTCAATTTTAATTCGCAAATTCGCAAACACAATTTATTGGCGTATTCTGACTTTGTTGTCACTTTTCTAATGCGGAAAACTTGCATATTGTTATTGTTCGATCATGTAAATTTCCAGCTACGACGCATTAGTCTATCGGTGTTTATAAATTCTCCAGTAGCAAGGTGAGTGGCTTTATTTGTTTGCTTCAAACTGCTTGAATTTCATTTGCTTTGGTCTGTTTTGGAACTGGTTCCTCGGTACCGCTAGCGAAAATCTTATCGTTTCCTCATTCGTGGCTTTAATTTGTTTGCCAGCCCAAACTTTGTATGACAATCTATAGTATTTGCACAGTTTGTTGTGAAAGGCAGCAGACGATAAAATATGCAAATTAGTTATTTCTCGTTCAAGTGAATGTTAACAATACATATATAGTACTATACTGGTAAGTAGTTGACGTAGTTTGGAAGCCCCTATTAAAATCGACAAGTTCTTATCCGAATGAAACTTTCGTATTTTCGTATATGACTTAGTGTATGCTTCCGTTTCTACGGTAAATAATGAAACAATTTTGTTTTAATGCATACGAAAACATCATAATCTTAGTTGCAACTGTGCTTAATTTAAATTTATGTAAACATAATATCTTTAAGATTTAAAAAGACAAATAGCATAATTAAAGAATTAATATCAAAATAAAGTAATATAGGACTTTCGAAATTGAAGAGTTATTTCAATATTAGTTACTTTTACAACAACAATTAACTAATTGGGTAATAAAATTGACTTTAAACATTATATTATGGAAAGTGCCTTTGAATGTGTATGATAACTCCTTATGTAACACATCTTTCGTTAACATTAATCACATCAAACATTTCTATTTGATATTACTGATCCAGCCATTCTTCTTCCACTTACTATTAAACACATAAAATAAATAATGAAATTCCTCCAAAACTTAAATATTTATAATAATATTTCAATTTCCTTATTATTACTTCCTTATTATTTTAAAAACATTACATAAAAATTATATTGTCTAAGTAAACATGTCTAATTTTTGGTACTTTATTATTAATTATTCATCCTGGTAGTCTTAGCTATTAAAACCGGTTAGTTGCAAGTTGAATCTTTAGCATTGAATAAATAAATAAATTAGGCTGTTTTATTAATTTAAATAAATAATTTTATAATCAATAAATTCTAATTTCATTATATTTTCGAATGACTGAAGTAGAAATGTCATGGTTACTTGAAATTGCTGTACTTTAGAATGCAGTGCACTTAATATCTATAATACTAGCATTAATATAAGTACTAAGGGTATAATGAATATTCAATCTATGCCATTGGGCAACCGATATCAAACTGTCCCTGAAATGCTTTCATTACGAATTACACAATATGTAATCACAATTATTTTTGTATTTCCTTTTGTTTATTATTTCTTATCATAAAAATGTCCCTTTCCGTAGCTGCGGTTGGACAACAAATCGCCTAAACATTAGCTAACCTACTACTAATCGATAGCAATTGCCCCAAATGGCAGCACGAATAATTGAAACAACCTCAACGCAATAATATTGTCAATAATTTATGAAGTAGTATAACGGGGTGGGGTCTATAAGCCGTCATCCATTGAGGGGCTATAATCGTGAATTGGTAGTCAGCCAAAGCTGCGTGCTATGTCAAAGGTACAGAATACAGAAATCGATTTGGTCTCCAGATAAATTATTCAAATAAATATCGAGCTATTGTAGTCAACAGTAAATCGACTTCCTTTAAAGGTTATGATTTAGGTAGAGCCAAATATATTTCTTACGTAAAAAGTACGTGTACAAGTTTGAATCAAGGTATGAAAGGCATACTATATTAAGTAAAAAATGTAACAGGCAAATAGCAAAAAGCACTATCGACCCCATAAAGTGTCTATGTACATATATTCTTGATCAGCATTTGCAGTAAAGTCAATGTAGCCATGGCAGTATGTCCCTTCGTCTGCCCATCTGTCCTTCCGTCAATCCATCTGTATGAACACCTAGATCTCGGAGAGCATAAGAACTACAGGCTCTATGTATAAGTGTTTTGTTTATTCATTTCCGTGTATTTCCGTGCATTTCCACGCATAGACGCAATATGGATGTATACTTTTGAAACGGTGCATAAAAATGTGTCTATCTATATATTGAATATTTTATATATTATTTAAATTATTTAATTTTAAAACATAACTAAGCAAAAAAATTTAATAATTTTTTATTTATTTTCAAGCATAATGAACACATAATTAACTTATATACATAAATGATTACTAATCTTAAGCATGTGGACGGAATACATAATCATAATATTCAACCAGAGCACAGAACAGGAAAAAGATATAGTATTTAATTGAGTAGGAAAGTAATTTCAATTATGATCTACTATTATGAATTATTTAATTCGTTTCAACTTAATAGACTTTATTTAAGAACATTCCGATGTGTTGGTATTTAATAAAAAATGCTTTCGAATTATTGGTTTATTAAGGCTAATTAACATATAATTTCAATGTAAATTCGATATTTATTGTTCACTATAGACTTTTAGTATCAAAATTCTAACACAATTTTTGTTCTCTATTCAGTCACTATTAGAACTTATTAACAGTTAGTACTAGATTTGTACGAGTAGTCTGCTTTACACTTTTCCAATTCGAATACAGATCCAGTCATTAAGTGCTCCACTTGAGAGCTGCAGCTGTTCCTGGGAATTGTCGGTAGAGTAAGGGAGGGTCAGGCACTTTATAGTCTTGTATTGGAATATATTGCTCGAACTCGTAATGAACAATTTGTCTGCCCCTGTGCGCGAGATAAACTCTTGTTCGCACAATCAATACTAATTAACCTCCTCGACGCGCCGCTTAATTATTTTGAGTAGTGAAAAAATAAATATTTTGTTAAGCTCTTTGAGCAGCTGGTGGGAAGGCATAAGACAGACGGACAGGCGGACAAATAGACAGATAGACGAACTCTCAATGGCAAGTAGAGCAAAGGAGCCAAGTGGGGGCCACGAAAACAAACAGAGGCGCGCCTCCGTCGCGTCGAATAACCGCCGCCGATAATTTTCTACTTCAACACGCATCTGTGGCGACAACAACAGCAACATCAACGTCGAAAACGTGGGCATTGAAAACACAGAGAAATATTAAAGAAAACAACAAACACAAATACAAATACAAGTAGAAGACGTAAGGAAGGAGGCAGTAGGCTGGCACATCGTTTCCCAGTTTAATTAATGCAGCAAGAGGTGAAGAGCTGTGGCACTGGAGAGCAAGACGGGCGCCTGCCGCAGCCCCGCTAGTTAGTTGGGGCATGCAAATGTGCTGTTGTCTCCTGCAGCGACGTCTTTTGCTCCTTGATTGCTGGTTGGTTGTAGGGCGTCAGTTGTCATCGTAATTTTCTTAGCTGGTCGTCGGCAGGGACGCAGCGGGTGGTCGTGTTTGTGACTCATGCGCGCAATTATTTTTAGGTCTATCGAAAAAGTGCATTACAGTCAGCATTACAGGTATGTTTATACTTAATAATAGTCTGTTTATGAAGAAATTATTTATTTGCGGTTTGTGAATTTATAGGGTATCATAATTGACGCTTTGGCAACATTATCTCTCAATAATAA